TATGCTGTACATTTCCTTTACAGGGTCTCTTTTGCAGTTGCATGAAAAGTAACGGGAATGAAAACGTGGCTGACGTCGTGATGAAAGCAATCAAAAGGGAGAATCTTGTCGCAACTCATTTTCAAACAGTCAAAGATGAAAAAGGTGAACTGGTGAAGTTGATAGAAAAACTCACAGGTAATGAAAAAATTGCCACGAAGGTTTTAAATCTGCACACAGTTGTATTTTGTAGATTTTTATTTTGATGTTTTCATTAATTTCTATTGATCATTTTTTATGTTTAATGCTATGAGTTACATTGAGTTAAACTCCACCAATACGTTCCCTAGAAGTTCGCATATGTTTTGATTTTGGCTCATAATCGGTTTGAATTACCAACATATTTCATATTTAAATCGTCTTTCTTACAGAGATAACTGTAGAAAAACAATATCAGGACTTGCTCAAACGTAAGTTTGACAGGCAGTTCATTTTCGAATAAAGAATCAAAAGTAATTATATATAACACCATTTCCTATGGTCCAAATTTAATTCACCTTGACGTATACAAAAACAATTCTCGAAAATTACATGTTATTTTCTATTCAATCAATTCTCCCTCACACGCGATTAAACCTCGGGAAATAATAAGAGCCAATAATTGACATCTTTTTCTGTTGTTACCAAACCAGAATTAATCAAAGGCAGGGCAAATGAAAAACAGCAAACCGATGATGTCGAGCGGTTGTCATCAGACATTCAGGAGAAAATACGTGACAAAATCAAGATAGTATACGATAGGACCATGCTACAGATATTGTTTGGCTCGGTTTCGGGTGGACTTTCAGCTTGTGGGTTCTTGGCAGGTAAGTCATAAAACTACACGGTCTTACAGCACATTTGTTTCATATTAGCTGATTATCGGATTACATGAGTTTAGTTTCAACAGAACATTGCATGTCCATGAAAATCAGCACCACTTGGCTGTACGTGTGGAGTGAAAATAAAACCAATTTAATTAAAAAGAATATCAAAGAAAGAATGCTAGCGGCTTGTGTTCAAGATACAAACTGCTATACATTTTACTATGTAAGATATTCAAAGGTTTTATCATGCATCTCGATTTATTTTTCCGGAGCTGCCATTGGCTCAGATGTCATTTCTACCGCATTAGCTGTATCTACTTTACCAGTAATAGATGTGGTAGCAGCAGCAGGAGCAGATACAGTTGGTGTAGGTGCGGGTGCAGTGACATATTATGTTACAAAAAGGAAAAAAACCGTGGCGAAGCAATACCGAGCAGTACTGATATCAATTTTGAACACTTTGTTAAATGAAGAAAACGCTGGTATATCGTGCAACTGTAAACTTGAGAAAAAAATTTACGAAATAGCAAAACGTGAAAAAATTATTCATCAAAATGCGCTTTCTGTCCACGAAACAAAAAATTTCAAACAAAGCAAAATGATTACTAAAGAAACACGCAACCAGCTGTCTCAACGCCTGCATGCTGTATGCATTATTAACCGAATGAGAGGATTACTTTTGAATGAAATATTCATCCTCGTGGTTGGTCAACAAAATCACGGCAAAACGACCCTTGTCCAGCAGCTGACGAAAGAGGGAGGTCAACCTGAAGGATGGTATAATCATACTAAAAAACCAACGCTGTACAAGTACACCGTGGGGCAAGACGCCATTAACGTTAGTATAAAATTGTAACAGTCCCGCCACTTACAATATTAACGTATCGACATCTTAACTACCCATATTAACGTATCGACATCTTAAGTACCCTTACCTCAACGGTGTTTGTTTCCAATTTTTAATGGATTAAATCGCTTATATGAGTGCATTATATGTTGCATAATCCTATTCCTAATCGCATACGTATTAAGTGATTATGTGTGTTCTAAAATTGGTTTCTTACATACGCCAAGGAGATTATGTTCTTTTATGTCTGTGTGCCCGTTTGTCTGTTAATAACAAATTAGAAGAGGTTGAGGATGGATTTTGGTGAACATTTCAGAAACAAGTTTCTCATACCTATTTTTTTCTCCTTTAGTTGATAGATATGCCAGGATCAACGGCCACTGGCACTAAGGAACATATTTCAAAGTTTTCCCAAATATTTGGAAAATCAGCTGACCTGTTCATATGGGTGTACCAGTTCAGTGGTAGCACCGACCGAGTGTTTGAGGGTGAACTAAAGAAAGTCCAGTCGGCGGGGCGACCAGTCCTTGTCTGCTTCAGCAAATGCTTCCTGGCAGGAGAAGACGGCTCTCTGCAAAACGGAAGAGATATTAGAGACATGCTACCGAACGTTAAGGATGTACCTGACGTTAAGGGTGTCATTCCTATGGAACTGAAGGAAGATAGGCGGAAAGAGCTGACAGACAAGAAAATAACAGGTGTACAAACAGCGGACGACGTTGACGAATGGATTTCTAGGTGGAAGAGACACTATCTTAAAACCAAGGTGTAATATGTATTTTAAGTTTCGAGAACATTTGATTCTTTAAAAATGTGCATTCCATTGATTGAACGGCACAAAATCTATTCGCGCGACATACAGTATTTTACAAACGGTTTTTGAAACTTGCAACTTTGACGTGCAGAGCCGTCAGTAAACTTAAGCGAGGAATTTAGCCGCTTTGCTTTTTCCAGTCTACAAACGCATGAAGTTGTTATAATTTATTTAAGGTGCAATGGCTTCATCCTTAGTTCTTTCTAGTTGGACATACCCACTTATTTATGCTATGACTTACATTTGAAGGCATGCCCCTGATCATTCAGCTATTATATGGATATACTCAATTAATTACAGTGACTGATAATGAAATGGGCGCCTATTATATCTTGCTAGTATCAATATTTTTCTTTTTTGAATTTTTGTTTCCAGTATTTTCCAACCTACGTTTTGATTATTTCTCTTAAGGTATTGTAGCTTGTGGTATGTTAGTGTACGTGTATATACTTATTTAAATCATGAATAATTCTATCCCTTTTGTTTTGCACCAGAGGTGTAGTGCTTTAATTTATATTACCAATTTTATATTTGCATCACTTACCATCATTGCGCGTGTGCACTGCTGTTGGATCTTTTTGATTGTGATTCAATTAAGATGGCAATGGCGTTAATTATGTGTATAGAATTTCGAAATGTTTGCATATGCGTATGTGAGTGTGTGTTTCGATCCTGCAATTAGTTAATTAATTAGATTGTGTGTATGTGTGTTTTGGGCTTACACATTGTATTTATGCTGTGCGTTAAATATGAGCTTATTTTGAATGAATATGTGTTGAACAAATTGGATTATTGGCTTAAGTAATGCACATCTGTTAAAATGAATTTTAATCGTACATTAGATTACTTTTATTTTAATTATTCTTTATATTTGGGCGTATTAGTACCTGTATTGTTTTTATCACTGTCTACATTCTTGTTGCAGTTTTAGGTACCATTCATACACTTTTAGCATCCTGTCATATATATGTGCATGCTATACAGTTGCATGTTAAGATAATATTAGCATTTGTAACATATGTAGTCAGACAATGTTTGGTTTTCAGTGGTGTTGGCTAGTTTTTGTAGAACTTTCAACTGTTTCATTTTGCTATTATCTTGCACTCATTATTATTTTCCTGGGTGATATTACAGTACATCTGAAAGAAAATTTACGAATGGTACCAGTCATTTAGGAAATTATTGTATTTTCTTCCGAGTATGTGTACAGCAATTAACGTTTTCTCTCTCCGTTATAGAGGTCTCACAATATTATTGCTTACATTCGCCATAATCGTTCATGATCGCTATCATGATCTTTTCAGGATTTGAACACCATAGCAGCCACATTAAGTATAACTACCGGTTATATAAGTATCCCAAAGTTTTGCATGCTAAGGGAACATCTGAACATTTGAGGGAACGTCAACTCTCAGTAGGTCATTACACAGTCCGTAGTTGCTTACAGTTTTCAGAACAGTACACGTGTGTTCGAGTTGTACAGATATTTTACTTGGATTGCATTCAAAGACGGCACAACGTAGACCACTGATTGTCTACCTGACGTCAATGTGTACGACCAAATTGCTTAACAGTTTTAAATTTTTTAATTCTGTGTATATCTCTTAGATTTTTTTAAATATATATATATATATATATATATATATATATATATATATATATATATGTATTTTACTAAGATGATTTTTAGTAGTGTAAATTTTAAATGGTTTCCAATGAGAGTTTATGATTAAAATATTGTAGTCATTTTAATGATTTTAGTATATTAACCATTATTGTAAGGCGCCTTGAGATAGAATGTAAGGCGCCGTATAAGAATCTTGTTAATCTTATTATTATTATTATTATTATTAACATGGACTTTTAAATGCCTAGAAACGAAATCAAAAAAAGCACCACTTTGGCTGATATATTGGAAATCCAAGGACTCTGAAATAATGTGTGAAGCTATATGTTGTGCTTTATTAATATCTATATTGTGATTTATTAGTATTTATTAGCATTCACTACATGCAAGTACTCTAGAAGTGTTCAAATAATGTAGATAGCAATCTTTCAAATGCTAAATAAAAGCTTTTTGGTTGTGGGAGAGTGAAGTTTCTTATTTACCTTGGTATTCTGTACATAATATCAAAAATAAAGGGATACTGACTGTTGGGTCACTGATCCTCATTTCTGCCTTAAGATCAGCTATACAGGTAACAATACCGGACTGTTATTTTATGCAATATGTATTTCTCTTACAAAAAAAAACAATTTTGTTGTCATGGTGGAAAAACTTCTCTGTTTGTTGTGATTCATTATCACTGTCAGGCCCGTAGATAGCAATTTCAAATTGGGGTTGTTTACAAAAAATGGGACCTTTTACCCTCATGCAAATCAAATTTACATCGAGCAGACGTTTTTCTGGGTCCGGTTCTTTAGAACTTCCACCCCTCCCACCCTCACACACCCCTGGCTTCGGGCCTGACTGGACCGGTTACTGGACTGACTATTAAGAACTCTTATTTGAACCAAGCATGTCGGACTTACCACCCACGTCTTGTTTCATTTCAAATTCTTTCTTAGATGTAAGACATTCGAGCAATGCACCAATTTTACATGAAGCTTCCTTCATATCATTAATTAATAACTCGAGTATTTTAAGCGACGTGTAGAAAGAAATCCCACCAGCTACAATGCTGCCAACGACGGGAATTAATCGAGAAATCTCTTCCACGGCTGTTTGAACAGCAAAACGTTTACCGAGCTCTAACAGGGTCTTTTTGTCCAGCGCAAGACATGCGCAGTCTTTCAGTATTTCTTCTAGAGCTTTTGGGTTTACACCCGAGCTTCTGCGAAAGCGCTTTAGGGCTACCTCGTCAAGTCCAAACTGTTTTCTGAAAAAAGAGAGAAAGATTTCATTAGAGTTCGTTTATTATATTTATTGCACTTGTTAATATTGAGACATGAAAACTTTTTACGATATATTGGTGCTTACCATTGTACTTTTCCCACTGGCTATAAACATAGTGTTGTAAAGCAAATTACTTACACTTTTGCTAATCACAGAAAACAATTAAAGCGGAATCAAAAGAGTAAAAAGACAAAGAGTTATTGAGTGTAAGTTAAGTTTCTCCAAGAGTCAACAAGTGTAGAACATGTTTTTAGTGTCAGAAAAAGATTTTGCTGAAGCAATACCTTTGAAAACTCAGGAAGCCGAAGAAATCGCCAAGGCTCTTTACAGAGAGGTGTTTACAAGATATGGTTGTCCGTCATATCTCGTTTCTGATCGAGGAAAGAATTTTTTGTCTCAAATCATTCAATCGTTGTGTAAATTATTCCATATCAAGCGCTATCATACTAGTGCATGGCATCCACAAAGTAATGCAGCCTGTGAAAGAACTAATTCAATAATTGCTCAAACTTTGAGAGCATATTGTGAGAAAGATCAAACTAATTGGCCTGATATACTTCCAGGAGTAATGATGGCATTACGTGCGACTCCTTGTACGCAGTCCACGAAGTTTTCTCCTTATTATTTAGTTTTTGGACGAGAAATGCGTACGCCATTAGAAAGTGATTTGATCCCTGAATCTCATGAGAATAAAAATTTACCTCAGTACATTAAAGAATTGAAAGACACCCTTAAAACGGCAAAAGAAATTGCAACAAAGAATAGGGAAGTAGCTCAGAAACAGTATAAAGCAAGGTATGACCTTAAATCAAAGCAACCGAGTTATAAAGTAGGTGATAGAGTTTGGATATATACTCCAATGACACCTAAAGGATTAAGTTCTAAATTGTACACCAAGTACAAAGGTCCGTATTACATAACGAAGATATTATCAACAGGGTGTACGTATTATTTGAGAGATTGTAAAACACACAAGGAACATAAATCGCCTGTTCATGCAAATAGATTGAAAATGTATTATGACCCTAAAGATTACAATAAATATAAAAGGCTGAATGAAAGTAATTATGAACAAGACAACAAATCAAATGGGAATAAAACGACCAGTGAAACGCAAGATAGAGACATTCATGAAACAGAAAAAGCAGAACTTGCATCGGACAGTAAGCAAGGCGAGTACGAATATTATGAAGTAGAAAAATTGTTATGTTGTAAGAATATAAACGCAAAGAGACATTACAAAGTAAAATGGAAGGGTTATAAGAACACTTCCTGGGAACCTGAAGAAAATATTTCAGATGCATTAAAAAGAGATTATCATATCAACAAGACGTTACAAGGAAGACGAAGAACACGTAGAAATTAAAAAGGAAACACATCTCTTCGAGACGAGTTCGATAATCGATACACTGGTAAATAAAAAGGTGGTACACTTACACATTGTAAAAAAAAGTATACAAAGGTCAAATGTATATTTTGGAAAAACAGTCATACAGCTTAGACTGAACCTTAAACGCAAACCGGTTTGCTGTATTCTTATCTATTCTATCTATTTTATTTCCTATCTTTTTCTAAAAGAGGCGAAGTTAAAGCGATATGCACTGGAAAAATCCAAGAGCATTGACCTTTTGAAATGATGATTCTATGAATTCTCACTGTAATGTTGTGGCAGCATCAGCACGCTCAGCGGTGTTGAGTGTAGACAATTTTGTTTCTGAAGAACTGTTTAACAAAGAACATTGATCTTATTCATATGAGTAAACGTTACATCCAAACGATGTAATACAAGTTATCACAAGGTTCATGCCACATCATAATGGAAGGCATAGTAAACTGACAAAATAAAGACGAGATGTTTTGACAAGTCAGTCGCTGACATTACCCCGGAATGCCCTAGAACAACGACCTCTTTAAATAGTTGTCATTAATCTGTCAATCAAATTTTTTTTGCTACTGCAGTGTGAACTAAGATGAATTTTTTATTTTCCAACCAAGTGTCAAGTTGTCAAAACAACACTAAAGATAGCACAGCAACATCACATAAATATTGGTTTGTGGCAGTATTTCCATTCAATATGCATATTTTCGACATGAAACGCAATGATTTATTTAATAAACCCTATTTCAACAATTTTTCTTCATGTTCTTGCCAATAATGTTAGTGATTATTTGAGATTATGAAAGTGACTCAAACAACAGAGAGAGACAAGAGCAAATTTATACTTGTATGGCAGATGCTATTCTAACAAACGAAATATTTTCTACAGATGATTAATCTCAAATACTAGTTTAAATTTATTCGAGACATAGAGCTTATTGCTCACAATGAAATTTGGTCTGTATATCAAGGACAAACAATTGGCATTAGTAGTAACTTTACTAAAAAGAAGTACACGTTAACAATACGTGCTTACTATACCGTAGTGATTATAAAACTTCGCAACAAAATAAATTAATAAGCCGAAGAAACTTAGAACCACAGATTCATTCATATTACGAAGTGAAGTAATAACTATAATAATTTAGAAAAGTTGATTTAATTATTTGTATCTACAGACTACATCTGTCAAAACATTGGCATGGCTTGACAAATATAAACATTATGATAAACAAAAAACGTTACTTTAGAATGAGTTATCCCAGAAAATTATTCAAGAACGAATATTGTACATGTTTGCACATTAAACATGCTTGTGCACTTTTCTATATTCAGTTCAAACATTTGATCACAATGCAGATTAATTTTAATCCAATCTGAATTTGACTTGACTTGCTACTCGTGTCTATAATTAACATAACGGATTAATCTTTGCGAGTGAACTTTTGGTGTAAGAAGTGTGTATACGATCACAACATATTAATGACTTTATGATTCATTCTTATTGTTACTTCAATGATTTCAGACATTTCAGATTATTATTATTGAGAGTGTGCGAGATGCACGGAATTAACATGACACTTGTAAGTCTTGACAAATATTACGATGTTTTTTTTTAATCATTATGTACTTTGATATATAATAATGAACATTTTATTGTGTGTTACATGTAACCATGATCATTATTAAAGGCGTGCTGTATTTTAATTGATTTACAATGTTATTGCATGTTAATAACATATTGCATATTGTGTATTAAGTATTAAATGTGTGAATTGTTATAATTATAAATATATTTGGTTTATCAATATTATGCTTGTCGGTCATAGATGTTTGAACAAATGGTTATTGTTATATGCACAGTGTATTTAACTTTTGTTAATGATGATGACATGAAACTGATGATATGCATTAAGGAAGATTCTCACATTTTGCGACTTAATTATTTGTCAGTATAATTTTATAAAATTCGTGGATTGAATTGGATATGATCAAGTGTTTCTCTTATAGTCATCACAGAGGAAAGCTACAGTGTGGACAAATATGAAGATGAATATGTACTTCATCATGAGCGATGCGCTGGTCGCAGCGTTGTGGTGAGTGCTGTTCATTGGACAGGGAGCGATCGGCCCTATTGTCTCATGTAGTGCATTCCTAAATACTATGTCTTAAATGGCAACCGAAAGAGAAAACTGTATAATAAAGTGTGTCATATCCATAATAAGAGAGCAAAATATTTCGATATCCGCGTGAGAAAACAAACAAAAAGTATCTGAGCTCTTAGGCCACACATAAAAAAGTGTATATGACAATGTGAAATAAATTTGATGTGTCTTCCTTCAGGTTATATTTTTTGTTTCATGTTGACTGTGTTTCTAATTATATGTATAAGTTAATTAAATAGAGTTAATTTTCTTAGTTATATTTTTGCATAACTTTATGGTAGAAATTGAGTAGGCCTATTTAAGGAAAATAATCATTATTTTCTTTCATTATTATTTTAGTTCATTTTGCAGAAATTGATGAACTTGCGTATAACATTTAAATTGATGACATATGTGACCTTATCATTTAATTTTTTTGAAAATTTATGTATTTTATGTTATTTAGTATATGTTTTGCTTAAAAAAAATGAAAAAGGAGCGTATGTTGTAAAGTTTTAGAATTCGAGGACGAATTCTTTTGAAGAAGGGGTGTNTTATTCCTCACTATAACAATAGAATGAAGAGTTATTGACTTTGAGAGCAATAAATAAATAAATAAATAAATAAATAAATAAATATTTAACACACCTGAAGAAAATAATTTCTTTCAACAAAAGGGACACATCCAATACTGCCGACACGCCGGGAACAGGCACCGCTCCACCCACCGCCGACAGCGCAGCGATATTTTTAGACCTCTTTAACATCCAGTCAGCCTTTGATTCTAATATGTCTTCATAGTAGGACCCGTGGATAGTGTACACGAATGCCTCACATTTCTTCTTCTCCAATTTTGTGACTATTCCAAACAGTGCTTCTTGAATCGACTTAGTGTAGAACGTTGCAGATGACAAGTTACGTATTTCAACATCGTCGACCTCTTCAATAAACTTCCTGTCGGTTGATTTCCCTCCAATGGGGATTCTGTTTGCTACTCTCTTCATTTTTGCTTTACCTCCCTTAAAATGTCCCTTCAATTTTTTCCCGATGCCCCCAAAGTACGCATCAACATGTTGAATTCTCAGCGCCTTTTCAATTCGACCACCTTTGGCAAGAGCTTCATCAACATCGAAGATGATCATTTTAGGGCTAACTGTATCAGGTGGTGTGCTTTCTTTCGTTTCGTCGCAAACGGGTTTGGCCCCAGTGTCATGTCGTATGTCACTAATCGGCTCCACATCCCCACACTTTGCTGGCGTCTCACGATCACCATCGTTCCCACCACTCCAAGCATCACGGTTCACATCATCTGTGATATTACTGGTATGCGCAAACTCATCAGTGGTTGCAGAATCTTCGCCATTGCCAGTTGCTCTGTCACTTTCTTTTTCTAATGGATTGGAATCGTGACTTGGTTCTTCACCTATTGATATGATGGACGAATGAGAAGACTCGGTTATATTTTCACTTTGAAGGCTTGTTGTTCTTTCAAGATCCTGTAGGGGTTCTTTGTTAGATGATTTCTGGTCCAACGTTGAATCTCGATTTATTATAGTCATGTCATTATTTGACTGTGAACTTGTTTCGTCAGCGGAGAAGAACTGCATCGTCAATGGTCTTTCAGGGTCAGCATTTGTAACGTCTTCTGATATTAACAATGGGTTTTCAATAACCAGACATTCGTTGTTATCACCAACACATTTACCATGGTGTGATGATGACTGTGGTAGTTCACCTTTGTTTTCAATGTCAGGTGCTAAAACTGGTTTGCTTAAAGCCAGCTCACAGGATGACGATGGTTTTATTTCAATTGTATCTTTGTCTGTTAAACTCGAAAAACCTTGCTCGTTATTTGGATCCTGACTGGATGCTGACCAAGTATGTCCATCAGACAGATTAGTAGACGTTCGTTCTTCGACTGATTGGCTCCCGTAGGATATGGTTCCAGTATGATTAGCAGCTGTGTCTTGGTCTTTTACCGCGCCTGACTCGGTTACAGGTGAATTTGGGTGTTCCGTAAAAACCTCAGAAATATCTCTGTGACTTGCAGACCTTACCTCGTCACTAGAGTGACACTGAATTATGTCATCCCCCTCCCCTGGCTGAGGTAACAACAAATTGTCATCGGTTCGAGTATTCAGTTCTGTCACAGGAACAATATGCTCTTCTTTGCCAAAACAGCAATCAGTGGGAGTGACGTCCCCAGGTTCATGCTGGGAATAAGATTTCTCAAGCTCCTTGGCATCATCTGTTTCGTTCGAAGCTATGTCAGCCGCAGTGGAGCTCTTTTCGCCGGACAGACACACTATACCAGACTCTAAGCTGTGAGGACTGTCAGGATTTTCCTGTCGCACCTCATTTCCTTCAATCCTATTTTCGCCCACGACTTTGACATAAAGCACCTTTATGTCTTCTGCTAAGGACCCCGTAATGGAGGCAGACCAATCATCAGCCGTGGTAGAAATATCATCCAGTAGGACGACAGCCAATTGGATCGGGTGTGACAAGCAGAATGTTTCGAGGTGTAATGCACGTTCTGTTTTAGTCACAGTCTCTGGCACGTAAACGTCCCAAAGTGTTGCTTTTGAGTTTTCAGGAAACTGATACGAGGAGACACAAAAGTCATTCTTATCCGCTTCTTTTGGCACCACAGACTCTGCTGTTTCAGTCACCGTCTTTTTTTCTGGTGACTGACGGGACAAACTTTTGATAGGTGACATACCTCTGGTCTTTATCTTTTTAAGGTGCTTGAATATTTCTTCGTCGTCTGCGTCGAGAATTAGTGACATCAATAACTTGAGGTGATCTTTGTTGTACCCATATATGGCGATATCGATTCTTTCGTTCCTCCATTCGTCAAGACTGTTCCTTAACGCAATCACCGCGTCGTCTGCCTCCTTTTTGGACGCTGAATGCTTAAAAAGCGACTTGAGGTCTCGGAACGCGTCCTTGGTATGGTCACGAACTGCGTGCAGTCGCTGTCTGGCCATCTGGAACAGTTGTCACCTGAAATATAATGGAGTATTAAAATGATTTCCTATGGTGAACTCTCGGTTAGCACTGAATCGTCTTTATTGAATCACTTTGACAATGATGGTGTTCGAGAACAATAATAGTAAAGGCAGATCGTTTGCTTTTTGATAATCTCAACTTACATGTAAAGATAAATATCAGATGTTAAACTTGTATATCCATACGGTAAAACAACCTACAATCGTATTTAAGAGATCGATTTATAAATTTGTTGGAATCATGAAATACTGTAGGCCGCTTTTCCTTTTGTCATGTAATGGCAGTACACTTTCTATTTTTTCAGTCTTCATGCAAAATCAGATGTCGTATTTCATTAAATTTTAATAAAATAATTTTTTCGATATTACAGAATACCAAAAAGTTACAACTGTTCCAATAAGAACAAACATTCTTTTTCTTTATTTTTAAACGGTTAATAAGCCTACAAAACATTCATTCTTTCAGAATTTCCCCTCCTCTAAAAATAATAGATAAATAAATAAACAAATAAATAAATAAATAAATAATTGAAAACAGACAGCAATTCATAATCCCCTACATAATCTACTCTTTCCAGATTTTGTCCATTTATTTTCCATTAATCAACCAAATAAAAACAACTTTTTAGTAAATAAAACCAAACAGAAATATATAATGCCTCACAGGTAATCCGTCAACCTGTACAGTGTAACCAGAATATTTATGCCATCCTTTAAGCTACTTTTACATTATCACTCTCGTATAAAGACATTAACAGCCTAGATTTAAACATTTACACCTGCAGTCACCCGATTATCACCAGCCTAGTTGACTGAGCGTGCTATTCTATTTTATTGCATTAAAACATTACGTGCACATTACCTACGCCTTGCTTATTTATGTCAGACTTAATGTAGAGCATCTATACCGCAACGTGGAGAAACCGGTTACCTCATGATTAATGTTTCAGCAGTTACAAGTGGGTTTACGTATTTGCCAATGCAGTACATGTAATATGATCCATATATATGCACAATTCTGTCTCTGTTACTGCCAAGAATGCGCATAACATACATATTTAAACAGTTGCGTACGCTTAAATCAAGCCATAGCTCTTGTAAAATTAGCTCTTTAATGCCTAAAATATAATCACTTTATGGCAATTTATGACACTACTATGTACGCATTTGTGTGTTAGACTGCGTGCACGTGTGTGTGTGTGTGTGTGTGTGTGTGTGTGTGTGTGTGTTTGAGAGAGAGAGAGAGAGAGAGAGAGAGTTCACATATTATAAAAACATGAAAAGAAAGCATGGGAAAAGGCACCTACCTTGATTTTTTCAGCTACTCCTCAGGTCTCAGAGTGTGCACATCTTTATTTCTTTAACCTCGACCTCAAAACTACTATTTCCTCCGGATCCACTGCACACGTCTCTACAATATCCCACAGAGCGAGATGATATGTATGTGCTCTGCGTCTCATTTAAAATAAATGTGACTCCAGCGAATTTGATTCCTGCGCGTTCTCCAACGGGGCGCAATGACTTAAATCAGCTATTGTAAAAAACACTCTAAACTGTTGCCTGAAGGATAACTTGATTTTCATTAGCTTTTTGGATTCACTAGTACATTTACCATCGTATTTTTATCCATTGTGGTATGACATTTATTTATCGATATATTTTTATTTATCTATAACTTTTTGACCCATTTAAAATTTAAATCAATGTTGTTTTTTTTACCTCCGAGTGAGTACCTTTTTTAAGATCATATGAAAGAAACGTGTGTATTAACACTTCGATATCGTTATTAAGATAAAAAAAAACAATTTACTATGTGTGCAGACGATTGGATAATCTTCCATTTGCAATCCAAATGCATTAGTTGTGCTGAAACTGTTAACACAATGGCCGGGTGAGATGCGTCGAGAACAGGAAACAATATTCAGCTTGTTGCAAAAAAATGTTTAAAGGGTATTGCAGGCTGATCTTATATATTTATCAATTATACCATATATTTGAATGGAAGCTGATAGGGCTGTTTTTTGGGCGACCTTCTCAAGGTCTATAGTAAAAACGTTCCATTTGTTATTTTTAATTGTGAAGGGACCATTTAATGTTCTCTTTTTGATGAATAGATTGGTTTTCATGAGGTAATCAGCATTATCTATATTTCCATCCAAATTGTCATAACAAACATTGGCGCCACTTGACTATAGTTCGTACTTATAGTGCTGATATAAACAATATTACATTCTACATGTACATGTAAAATAATTCATATCAGCACCAAAAAAACTATAAACTATGGTAATAAATGTCACTGAATTTGAAAAAAAACTTACAATTATGTACATTAATTTATAAAAGTCTATATTTGTAGGGTTCGTTTAAACAGTAATTTGTAACAGTTACAGCTGTTATTTGATATGAGTTATTTACTTTGCAGTCTGATATGAACACTGAGATATATAATGCTGGTTTTATTGTAGACATTATTGCTTCCCGTAAAGCAATCGTAACTATCGACTTTAATAGAAAAAAAAAGAACCATTACAAAATAAACAAGTAACACCGTCGGAAATAAGTGAGAGGGTTTTGCACATAGTGATCCTGTTGGCGAAATTCTATTGTTTTCAAATGATTGTGCTCTTATCCGTCAGTCAAGTGAGGAAAGAGATAAAACCATTTATTTATAGATTTCTGAGGTACTACGCTGTAGTTAGTGGACATGGCGCACGTGCAGGACACATGCCTGTTCGGAAAATGTGGACTACACCAGGAATAATTTAATCTGACTTTGTGGCGACAAAATTCTGTATACATTATTTTTCTTTGAAATAACTTGAAATAACCGTGCGTGACGATAACGACGTGGCTGGTTTGCAGCATGCCCACCTTGCGGTGACATTAATCGTCAGTAAAAATTTAAAGGGATAATAACTCTTCGTACGATATCTATATTTCACAATAAAAATAATATGTGAACAACTCATAGAAATATAATATATCCTGTTTTACCACAAAAACGGCAGTTATAGCTATTATTCTGATATCTGAGCTTGTCTTCAGATCACATGACCTCCACTGATGGCTGTACTCTGTTATAATCTCTTAAGAGATTTTAACTAAAAAACAAACTTTTTAGAAAAAAAAAAAAAACCAGGGACTATCTTTGAATGTAAAAATGGATTCATTAACCATTGCTAAGTATGGGAAAATTGTTGTTTACTCCAGGAAAATTCATTTTTTGGCCAAAACGAAGAGTTATTATCCCTTTAAACTTTAAAGCAATGCAAATAATCAAAAATAAGATCGACATGATTATTTTATTCCCAATACTGAAGTCACAATTGAACCTACAAATTTCACACATAAGACCAGTGCGTGGCTTACAGTGCACTACATGTGCAATATCAAACATATTTGCTCGGGCAAATTGGAAAAGGGCCATCGGCAGGGAAATAATGACCTTCAGGAGCTTCACATTTGCAGAATTCATCACCCTCACAGCACTGCGGGCTGCCGTTAAAGTTTAGGCTCCATGGACACGTTGGTTTAGGACATAGAGGGACGCCAGTGTCTAAAGGGAAAGGGTTTCTGATGCCCTTTGGGATGAAGCATGCACAGTTGGCTCTTGCCTCACAGCAGGCCAGGCTACCGTCACTGTAATACTGCCACTTACAGGTTGGTGGCTCGCAAGTTGGGATGGGGGCTCCTTGGCGGAGGTCGTTTTCACTTCCCTCGGGAGGTGTGCACGTGCATTCTGGACTCCTTTGTTTTTTGCAGCACTTCAGCGTGCCGTCGGGGTTATAGGCCCACTTGCAGGCGGGTTTACACAAGGGCACGCCGCTGTCTGCAGGGAAGATATTGACCTGCCCGTCTGGGATGAAACAAGCGCAGTCATCGCGTGCTTCACAGCATCTAAGTCGACCAGATTCTTCGTACTGCCAATTGCACGTGGGGGGTTCGCTTGTGGCGCTCACAACCGCAAGGTAGACGCTCAGCACTACAACAAGCGCAATTCTTTTCATGGTGAGGTTTGAAATAACCGTGGAACTAAAATTAAAGAAATAAAAATTGGTTTGTTGTGGTTTAATGAGTTTTTGAATTGGAAATAAAACCGCCCTAATTTTATAAAATTCGAAACACTTCCACGCAAAATGAGCATCTTTTAAAGGAAGAAGTTTATTTAAGAACATTTTGACGTCTCTATACACGACGTCGTGTTTATATGATATTAAAGTACCAGTAGCAGTGACTCATTATACCCAAGTCAACTCTGTGTCACTTCTTAAAACACATTTAACCGGTTTGATGGTGAATAATGACAAAAGACTTTACTTAAAGAAATGAAATAAGGAAACCTAATTGAAAGTCTCACGTTTGAAAATAATTTCATACTTTCTCATGAATGTTCATTAAATCATGTTGTAGTTCTAAACGTTTGTCTCGTGTAGAAAAAAAACAATATTCACGTTCTCGAACAATGAGAGTTGAAATATCACGAAAGAAGCAGACGTCAAGTTGGAGATAAAATGTATGTGCCAGTACATATGAACAAACTTTTCTTGCTTACCTCTGTGCAGTGTATCGCGGGACGATGGCTGATATTGTCGCCTGTCGTTAGAGATAGTCGTTTTATACAGTGCGGACACACATGCGTATACACATTAAGGGGATATCATTAATCGCTCGCTCCCATAGAAGGAAATTGTATTTGAAGATCGTGCGCTGAAAAAAAAAAACTTTGGTAAATAATGCGTTTGACAAATGACGCTATTTACCAGAACATTATGAGTAATATCTATTTTATTTATAGTCCTATTTAGTCGTTCTTTATGTTACCAGTACATGTACTATTATTGAAAAAAGATGAAACCTCTTCTACTGTATTTATTCTCTCTCTCTCTCTCTCTCTCTCTCTCTCTCTCTCTCTCACACACACACACACACACACACTCACACGGACGCACAGAGAGAGAGGGGGGTTATTTTACCAGCTATCTTCCCCTAAATCCTACGGCCAATTACCCTGTGCTGTGTCGACCTCAGCTATTGACGGGACAATAATATGTTACATACTGTTGTGCTGTACCGATATGACACCATTCCCCACAAATTATTTACAATCTACCAGCGCGCCATATATGTATAACGTTACGGCATTGGGGTAGAAGTTTACAGGATTGTTTAATCCTTTCTAAAAGTGGAAATAAAAACGACTGAGCAACTGTATGGAAAAAATGTTGAAACACGCATTCTGAACGCTGCCCCCCCTCCCCGCTGCATATAAACCAAACTTAAGGATTGAGTGCTACCATCTGAATATACATGTACTGTCAAAGAGGTAACCTTTTTGTAAGAATTTCATATTCATTGAAATAAAGATACAATTATGTAAGGATATACGAGGGATCTTAAATCACTGTAACTGCTCTTTAAAATGAAATATCACCTTGTCAGAACATAGGCAACAGGCAAAATTTCAAACCGGAATATTTATCAGAATTTTGTCCAATTTAGATGTCATGATGCAGACTAAAATAGAACTTTTCATCACGCCCATCTAGTTTGGGTAACCTCATTATTTAGCTGTAGTTATATTTAACGCTAGGCAAAGATTTGCTGCACGTTGATTTGAAGATTGTCCTCGTGATATGGAATACAAATGACAATCCTACATCACGCACGACGATTACGAAGACCACGAAAAGTAACAAACAGCCTTCCAGATATTACAAAACGAGTATTGTTTGCACATCGTACGACCGATATATGATTTCCCGAAAGAAAACCAAGTCTTTTAAAATTTAATTAAATTTTATTTTATGTACAAAGGCGGGGATATTGCCAAAATACAGTACATAAGTAACTTTCCCAGCCGAGAAAGTTTTAGAAGACAAATGATTTGCGCAAACTCATTAATATCTTGTGAGCCAAATTCAGCATGCGTTTTATACGTAGTGACACGCTCAGATAAACATAGATACATGTATATGTGATTTATATGTCATTCAACCGTACCAGGCAATATGGGCCCGTTGTCTTTGGCCTTTGTGAAGGCGAAAGATGGATAATAGTTTCTCTCTGTGGATGTAATTTTTGTCTCTGTCATGGAAGTAGAACATGTACAGGGGACCAAATAATTAATGTTCGTTCCCTCACTTCCTACACTTCGGCTTAAATTCCGCAATTGCCCGCGCTTGTAGCCTACTAACTTTCACTTTTTGGATCGCCATTTTTGGATCGACTTTTCACCTGAAAGACTTGTTCATTGGCAAATAAATTTTCCCTCTTGCTGAGTTTTTTTATTTTAGCAAATAATACCTATTATTATTATTATTATTATTATATTTTTTGTAAAAAAAATCAAGTATAGAAAGTAATGGAGTAACTTATGAAAGAAACAGAGTTTTAGAGAAATATTGGTTTTATTACTAAAGAGATCGATTGCTTTGGTAGTCAAAAACATAACAAAAAGCAGCTCAATGTCTTTTTCTTTGCTACAGTGAAAACTTACATAAACAGATAATAGATATTCAGATATTGAAAATCTTCCATAATTCTCTAGACGATTGGTGCGTGTCAGTAATTGTCCTGTACATTCTTCATGTACGTCAGGTGCTTTTCTTAGTGTCTTTACTCATAACAGGACGAGGGACTCGCTATTCAGAGATCACCCTGTTCCGGAGACTCCTTGTCACCTCTCCGCCATGGACGATCATTTGTGGGAACCAGTCTCCACATTTCCTCCAGAACGGCACATACACGTCATAAGACAGGCACCGGCACTGGTCCACAAACAGACAGCAGTATTCGCCGTTCAAGTATTTGTTATTCATATACATTTCCGAGTATTGATCCGTGGTCCATTTACACGTGACGGCCGTGTTCTGGTCATGTTGGGGGTTCTCAACGACGCTGCACAGGGGCACGCCGCGATCAGCGGCCCAAGGTTCGTCAAGGGGAGGATAGCAACCGCAGATAGAGCCATCGTCCGGCTGGTCGATGCAGCATTTGACGGGGGATTTTTTCCAAGGGCAGGCCGGTTTTTCGCCCCAACTGCTGGTGACTAAGACTAGTATGAGGCAAACTACGAAGGCCGTCGTGGAAAACTTCATTTTGATTGTTGTCTTCTGAAAAAAAAAAAACAAATAGAAATTCCAAACGGTTTACTGGGCCAAAACATTCCATTAAAAAACGAAGCTTTAAGTGTGTCGATACTTTTCCTTAAGTTCCAAATGTCAAGATTGCATTATCCGTTCTTTCCATACACCGGATCATAACGAGTTTCTGTATTGTTTCCTGGATTTATGAACCCATCCGCGAGGTCTTCCGATTTTAAATGCGCAGCTGAAGAAATTAATTCTTAACACAGTGTATCTAACGTATATTTTTTAATGCTACTAAATCACAAAATTCGGTAAATTCTAGCAATTTAAGCAAAGTAAGTTTTGTTTCCATTTAGAATGCTACATATAGCTACGATACTGAGAGTGCGCAGGAAGGCATCTGTATTTAACAACTATCACATTTCTCTAATGCATTTAAACAGTTTTTTCTCCATACGAATCAACCTCCAGGAAAAACCTTCTGGTTCTTTATTAATAGATTGATAGTGACGAGAGGCTGACATACAGTCACAAAAATGTTCATATGTGAGAAACAAATCATGTTGAAAATTCCCTGCGCCTAGCCAGGAAAGTATAAGATAAAACTCCTAGAATAAGCACCTCACATCTTGATTTAAATTTCGGGAATTTTCATTTTTTTTCTTACCTTTATCAATGTTGAAGAACAGGAATGTTTTAAGGTAATATTTTTCTCCGTATCTGTATTAAGTCACAAGTAGTTGGTTTGTAATCTGCCAATGCAACCAAAGATGTAACGTTCTCTCTCGTAGCTTTGGATGTCCCCAAAAAAGTCCCAGTTGAAGATACGGTCACAACGTTCTTCTTTTTATAGGCAAACATATTGACGGAACTAATTATTCATCATACCTCCATTCAATTAACACAAATCGATTTATTGCTTTATAAATACCCTGTAAGCGAAGGAAGAAATGTGCATTATATTCTGATTCTGTTCGTCTATGTCTCTGGAAAATAAAGGCGGAGTCAGCACATCATAAAACATCGTTGTCTGACAGCGGTTGAGCCCTTGACTTTTCATAAGGACTTATGAAGGTTAGCTGCATACCTCATAAACACTTCATCATTTGACAGGTAGTGTCTGCACATGACAACATGGTCGCAACGTTTAAAAGACAAACCTCTCCCTGTGACGCATTCGCCTTTGTTGCCAAGGAACCTCGCGACAATGCGAGCAAGAGTCGAGCGGCACGTATTGAGAAATTAATAAAGGATAAATGTTCCCGCTCATTACTTTTCAATTAAATGATATCCACTTGCAATTTTTTTTTAATTTGTAAAGTCGTGTAATGCGTCATGTTTTATTTTAATTGCGCACATTTGATCCTGAATTTAACGCTGGTGTTTAAGACAACTGTGTTTATGGCAATTTAATACCTAAAAAAGAATTCGTTTTTTTTAATCGTCATTTACCCTTTTTTCAAGTTTGTTCGTGCTTATTTATCTCTAGCCATAGGGTGAGCAAGATAAATGAATCAGTTTTCGCTGGCGATTTAGTTGCAACTTATATGCTTGTACATGTACAATAGTATCAACTCTGATTTTCGCATTAAATGTAAGCTTATATTATCACGGTCTTTACATTATCTATTTATAGAAATACTTGGTTTCGCAAAAATCAAGCGCGATCAATAAATGCAGTATTTCAGTACATTGTATGCACAGTGTGTGTGTGTGTGTGTGTGTGTGTGTGAGAGAGAGAGAGAGATTTCTATTGAAAACGCACAAGGAAATAACACTATTTTATTCCAAATTAACATAAGTATTTGTCAAACACAAAAAAAATTATAAACCCATATGCCATCGTAATAATATGCAAGTATGACGAGGCTTCTCTTGGCACTACATGTAAATATGACCACAAATTTCAATATAACCCTACAAGATTATTTACATTATCCAAAATTTGACATCCAATACAAATAACTCTCTCATCGTAGGTGATGTCTTTACAGCTGAAACTACCAGAGAGATAGGGAAATAGGGAAATAATCCTTTATGTCCATCTTTTTAAATGAAGTATGAAGTAGGAGACAAAAATGTTTCTGTACATTGTGATAAGAATAACCATAGGCAATGGAACACTAGTACGACAAGTGCGGTAGATGCGATTTTGATTGCGTTTGGTGGATGAATACGTGTCCGACGCCTGCCTTACACGTGTCACATGAAAGAACGAATGTTTACAAACACACTTAGAAGACAAGCTGTTATCCATCTGGTCAGAGGATTCCAGTTCAAACCAAAACCTCAAACTCGAAAATGGAAATAAGCCATTACCAGTTCCTTGGTCATTCTCTGTATACAAGTCCGTTTTCTTTGCTTCTTGCTGAAAAGGGCTGAGGGCAACAATTTCAAATGTTAAAGATGCAGAGCACCTAGATTATCAACACACACCTCCCTCCCCCATTCACCCACCCTCGCCCTCGGATATTTTAATTAGATCAAGTTTGGACATTTTGTTACGCGGACTAGGTCTACTGCGGTTCTCGGTGTGCTGGTCATTTAATCAATTTGGAAAAAGAAATGGCGGATAAATCAGCCGATGGCTTTAAAAAGTGGGTGTTCGCTCCTCCGGATACGTCTCTCGACCTACTAGTAAAAACACCCCTTTTGAACTACTACTTTTAATTTTGTTCAAATTGTATGTACAGTACCAATATTAAATAGTGTAGTATAAACTGATTTACTGTATTTAGGGTTGTGCTAAAGCTCTGCATACATAACCTAATACTTGGCATCCAGGGACCTATACAGTATTTAGTGGCACAGATTGTTCTGAAATTGTATGGTGCAAATTTCACTTCAGAATAATAACGTTATTAAGTGAGTAGTGAAGCAGAGGTTCTTTGAAGACATTTTTTCTTTAAAAAAGAGGCTGAATTTTCCAAATGGGTGCTACGCAAGTAAGACTGAATATAATATTGACTGCAAATCATAACGGTTGCACGTGCATTCAACATATTTCTAACAACGTTTTCATTGCAAATAGCCTGAAACTGAAAATGATTCTAACTGATAAGACTTTTATTAGTCACCGTAGAAAGTTTGTTTCAAAAAATGCAGTGGTTTTCAATCCAAAACTGAGTGGCAATTTGTATCAAATCAATCCACAAATTAAAGTATTCGCACTAATAAAAGAAAACGTGCTTTTCTCACAGTGTCTTTTCGATAACTTTTGCTGTAGGAATCTAATACAGTTCTATGAATCTTGAGCAGTTCTTCCATTCATATTGTCCTCAATTGAAACGTCTATCGCATTTTCGGCACTGGGTCCCCGCAATGTCTGTACAGTCCGAAGTCCATGGTGATGGGTAAACAGCGGCATGCTCCCGTGTATTTGCAACATATTCCCAGTTTGATATATTCATCGTACCGCCAGTGACACATGGGTTCCTTCGGATCCCTGTTTGGTTTTTCAACAGCAGTGCACTCTCGCGCCATCATATCTGCTGGCAGCTCTATTCGGCTCTGGCAAATGCATCCTGGGATGGCGGATTTGTCGCAGCATCTGCCTATCCCGAGGGCGTCTCGCCTCCAAGGGCACCTCCGAAAACGGCGTATCTCTGCGGATAATGTCGTCTGCAGTAGAACCATACATAGCAGACACAGGGTAACAGCCACACGCCACATGACTAGAAAATAAAAATAACATTGGCATCTTCGATGGTAGATTTATCAAATGACGATATCTGTAGTAATTATTTTTGAAATATGTATTATTTAAATTCATCGGAGAGCGAAGATGAAGAAAACGGACATTCCATGCGCCATAACAATAGTGATTTGTCAAGCAAGTCTAGGTCTTATACTATTTCATATTTTATTCCTAGCGCTGTATTGTAATTCGGGTCTGTTTTCTAATTGTGGATTCAGTGCAGAATATACAACAGAAATGAGGTTTAGGCCTACAGACGGCAAAATTATCATGAGGTTAACATTTCAAAGTAGTCCAGGCGAATGTCACCAATATTCTTTACAGTCAACGTGTGAAAGCAAATTACTAATTCGCATACAGTTTCATTTTGTGGATAAGCCTCTCATTTTAATGCACAGTTTAAAGAAAACACGGAAAACTTACCGAGTATGACCGAAACACACGAAGCCTTTCCTCGAAATGCTTCAGCCTAAAAACAAGGTTGCTAAAATACGCTTCCAAATGGCGATATATAACACCTAATAAGACAATCGAGTGCCTATTTATGGACCACACGCCCCCTGTCTTTGTCTTGGGGAAGATAATACATCATTTTGTACATAACGCTGTTATAGCTACGGGTAAGGACAAAACGATATGCGGACAAATTGGTTTCAAATTTAGCACAAACAAGTTGCCGCCCTTTTTTTTTCTCTATTCAAATACATGTACCTTGCAGATAGGGTACGTTGGTTTTGGAAGCAAACGGAAGTCAAGTGATAGATAATGCTCTCGATATGCTTGCATTTTTTGACGGGCGGGGGGGGGGGCAAGGGGGAGCAGGGTCTGTGCTGCACTTATCTTGATTGCAGACATTTCAAAAAACATTTCCTTAGGCCTATCAGTATTCAATAAATCAACCATCGACAAACCAATTTTATTTTCTTTTTTAGTTGTTTGGTCGTACACTTTCCTTTGAAGTGCACATCATAGACCATAGTTGCCATGGTTACATAGTGAAGGCAGCTATGGCGCCCGCAACTTTATGCAACCTTTCCTTGTTATTACTTTGTGGTCTAGCCGTGTCTCACAACAAACCGTGGAAGACTACATCCATACAAAATATATAGACTAAACAAAACCACATATACCTCAACTATGTGACTACACTGCACTGAGGTTTGAAGTGAATCTGGTTTGTTCTACACTGACAAGTTATTATAAGCACACTCGGCCTACTTTGACAAACCGTACAATCATCATTTCTAATCGTAAACAGTCAACCTAATCCCTATACTGCCCACACCCACTGTCACTGTTACTGAGTTTGGCTGAGTGCCTCCAATGCATTTCCACGTTCTGTAGACATACATGTAACTGATACGGTTGGTAAGAAGCAAGGTCGTCACGACTTCAGTGAAAACGTGCCTTGCACGTACCGATCTCCAGTCATCATAATCTTTTACAAAGACCAATTTCATGGGGCAAGGCTATTTTGCATTAAAGCAGTTAAAACAACTAAAATCCCTATATATATTGCCAAGTGCGTAGTAGATTTATTTACCGGGTATTTGCAATTGTAAAGCTATCCCGAGAAAACAGCCACAAAAACACAGCATCAGCGTGATCATGTATATGCAAATTGATACAAATTTAACTACTAGAAAATGCAATTTTATAGCACACTCTACCATAAGTCTTTGGATTTACCGGCATAATACTTACATTTGAAGAGGGTGTTGTCTTCATCTGTATACTTAAATCACAGGAACAATTAGACCCCTGACATTTGATGTCCGCTTAAAGTGACATATGGAGCGTAAATTACACGCAATTTAAAAATAAAATTGCTCGATGCTAGAACTGTTTATTTCAGAAGATAAGTGGCATGGTCAGGCAAGTAAAACCTTTCTATTCGTATTTATGCTGGACAAGATATAAGGGAAACGCGCTTTAAAAGTTTCGCATATCAATACTTTATATAATAGTCATAACTTTATATAATTGGCAGCATGTTCATGCAACCCATGCGTTTACAGGTCATTAGTTTTATATTATTGGATACGTGTATGAAGATGGTGCCGATCATGTGAAATGAATAAACAGCATCGGTGTTAAGATCAAATTTAATCAAAATCTAATTACGTTTTGATGTCAGCCAAAAAAAAGCAAACTTAGGTGCATATGTTTTTATCCATTTATTGGAATGAAAAATGGCTCCAACGCATTTTACAAAGCTCTTTAACAAGCATCAATTAAAGTTTTTAGGTTGGTAAGAAATATGTCCGTCAAGGCTAAGAGTAGGCCTATCTCCGATGTTTGACATTCTTGTGTATAGCCTCGATACTGGTAAACGTACAAAAGCACATGCCATGGAAGATTGCACTTATAAAATATTGAGCACGCAGGATACGCACTTTTTTCATAATGCAAATAGATTCAAAACAATTATATTGAAAAGTAAGCTGTAGTTCCCTTTCATGCTTAGATAATCATTCATTCATTCAGTCCTGCATGGATGTTTATCCTAAACATTTCTAAAAAATCAACCCTTAAACTACCTTTGCATAATATTATTTAAGGCTACCATTTTAGCACAAGTGTATCGCATTATCCTTGGTTACATTCCTTTATAAAACCAACCAATCTATTAATTATATTTATTTTGTTTCCATGAATGCAGAGCAGAATCCACACCGTTGCCATGGATGTATTTTTCCACACGTGCAATCCTCGAGCTTGGCGCAGCAGCTGACGGTGTAACCAAAACAAGCCTCCTCTTCCCAGAGACAGCTCGGTTTTGGGGCCACGTGCTGCGTGCACCTGGGCCACTCCTTGTCTATAATTAATCCCCAGATACCTAGGGAAACATTAAAGAAATACATTGATGTGTTTTGAGATGATTATTACTATACATCGATATTCGTTCAATTGTTTAAAAACGGTACATTTTGCAAATTACCCTTTACTCGTAGACATTTTTTATATCTGTCTTTATGTTGCTGACAACCCTTGGCCTACTGTTAGGCACACTATTTATTTATCAATCACCATAACAGTTAAAAATTAAGATATGTATATATGGAGAGAAGAAGCATAACTTTAAACATCATAATCTACATTATCTACATATCGTAGCAGGGGGGGGGGTTAGGGGTTTCGAAAGAAGCACCCTTTTTGCTTGGAAAAGGTCCACTCTGAGTAAAATTTGATCTATTTTGGTAAAAGTTCCACTTAATCAGAAAAAGAACACCCCCTTTGAAATTGATGGCTACGGGCCTGGTGGTGGATGGGTTTAACGAGGAGTTAACGTCTTTAAACTGCATTAACATGCGTTTAAATAGGTTGAATGGTCTCATTAAAAATACATAATGTGGGGTACTAAGGGCTGACCGACTGCGGGACAAGCATACTTTCAATCTCTTTCTTTTCATGTTAAGTATCCAGTGCTTTTCGTTTTAACGGCAAGTACATCTTTTTCCAGTAACAAATACCACAGCCCTCTCAGGTGGAAATAAAAATACTGAACTTTAAATGTATAGGACTGAGGTTCGGTTAGTATTGTAAATCCCACAAAATGTCTCTTTATCGCATCTTCACCTTCTGTATTACCTGGTGGTATGCAGAGACATTTTTCCTTTGAACTCGAAATGTCACAGCATCCTGGGCCGCTGTCTCCAGGTCTTTCTTTGAACGGACATTTTGGCATGCGTTTTCCTTTGATTTCCTTTTTATGGAGATGGGACTTGACTGGAAGAGCTTGGTTCCATAGTAAAACCAGGAGGCAAGTGACAATTATGAAGTACCGCATCTCCGTTGTGAATCGGTTTCTGTACTGGAAACGCGAGTTTTATGCAACTGAAAATATCAATTTCAGGTGTCAGTTTTCCATTTGCGCCTTTATTCACTGAGAAAAAAAGTTATTTTCCTTTGTATAAAAAAGGCCTTTAGGATTCAGATGTTATCTCCCCAGACCACGACGCTGATCATTATAAAACAAAGTTTGGTATTTACCTCCAAATATGCAATACTTCATTATTACAAGTGTATTCTACCAATATCTATAATGGCTACTGACATTTCATAAGAACACAGTCTCATGAATAAGACTCACCTTTAGGAGAGAAAGAATCAGTTGACTCAGGGGCTCGTGCTCATCAGAATCTACAGATATAAACGTCTTCCTTATTTTATTACAACTCTTGTGTGTTTACATAAATGTATTTTAATATATTATAACTAGGGTCTCTCCTCAAAAGTGCCATAACTATTAATTTGACATTCAAATTGATGACGTTAGTGGACTAATATGCAGTAATGTTAAATAACGGCGTAAACTTAAAGGGATACCTGTTTTCAAATTGTCCCCTCAGCACTAACGCCCATGTTTATTAGGCTTTTATTACAGAATTCAGGTCTATCTAGACCATCAGTGGCTACCTAGACCTTTGGTACCAATTGGTGCTTGCAAACAGAGCGATGCAAATCAGTTGACAAATACATTAATTAACATCATTTTTCTAGAAACCAGGACGAAGTCTTTATGGATAAATAAAGAAGACATGCGCAGTACCTTACCAGTCAGCATGTCCCACGTTATGTCTATAATATGGCTAGGGTATCTCATGACAGACATACACTCGTCCTTCGATATCGTTTAAAACTATATTTCATCGTGCGAGTTTAATTTATGTTTACATATTTTTTTAACTTCTGAATAATTAATATTGAAGCCCGTCAACCATGCTAAATGTGCCAATTTTCGCTAGTCGTCAGTAAAAAGCATAACCCTGTGACCTTGCGGAACATTTTATGTCTTTTAACTAACAGGAAGGCCCTTATTTGACCTTGACCGCTTTGAAGGGTCTGGCTTGTCTACTGGGCAGTACTCACAAGTGCTCTTCTAGCTTTCTTGTAATTGTAACGGTCATTGTCACAACAAAAGATGCGTCAATTTGACTGCTCCTATTGGCTGGCCAACTTACCGCATGGATAGGAAAAAAGTTTCAATCTAAGTGTTTTTAAACATCATGACATAATGGCAATAAATATTAAGTTAAAGGACCCAAAAGTAATTACCTTGGGATATTTGGGGTTAATAACATACCCAGTATCTTACAAATATGGAATAGCATGTTCATTTCTAAGCTCTAAGCGTATTTCCCGGCCAGACCTTGAAGACAACTACGAGTGCACTTCTTCATTATCTCTATCCCTGCAGGAACCGATTGCAACTTCTGGTGAGCCACCACCTACAGTGTAATTTGTACTGGATATTACATTACAATAAAGCAGAAACGGGACAAAAAAAGGCAGTTGTCTTCAGACGATTTGTAAAAATTTATTCAGATACGTTACCGATACATACGTTACCAAATAGCGTGTTGATTGTTGTTGTTTTTTGTTGTCCATCATTGCAACTACTGTATGTGAGCCCACACGTGGTTCTACGTCATATTTTTCTTTGCTCGATATCCCTCGATACATACGTTACCTATATTTCTATAACTGTTATCTGCTTACAATTTTTGTGCTGAATTTTACATTACAATAAAATAGAAACAGGACAAAAGGCGGAGGTCGTCTTGAAACGAATTGTGGAAAAAATTGTTCACATGAAACATACAGTGTACGTTACCGATACATACACCCAATTGTAATTAAGTTTCTATTCTAGAATTCCTTTCAGCCACACACGTTTGTAAATATAATTATAACGTACAGTTTACCTGTGTTGGATAATACATACAATACAAAAGCATGATTTTCCTAAAACATTATCTTTCAAAACGTAGGACACGCAATAGGGATTTTTTAACCATTATCTCATGAAGTCACAAGCAATATCTTAATCAAAGATGAAGTCTCATTTCATCCTATGAAGTCGATTTGTCAGTAAAATCAGGTATTTATCCCATGAAGTGGTAATATACCATGAAGTATCTTAACAAACGTTTCCAATACGTTGATTGATTCAACTGATGCTATGAGCGCTGAAATCAGTGTGTTATTGTCTAGTTTCCTTGGACTACGATACTGACCTCCAAATGTCGTCAAATACAGTATCTTACATAGCTAGAATAACGACTCAGCGAAATTTGCAAAAATATGAGTTCGCAAGCTCCAAACTCCGACGAAATGTTTTCATCGTCAATGACAATTATTCAGTACAACTTGATCGGCTGGAAAGTACTGTAAACTGCCCTTTGAACTCAGTCCGTTCCCGGTGTTGAGCAACACAGAGTCCTACCATTCTAGATCTTAGCGAATATAAATGTTACCATATGGCATATCAGGGTCCGGTTTGTGTCCGTCACAACGTCCTGTACCACAAGGATCGTGCGCGGGACAGACTCCCTCGACGGTGGACGCCCGGAAGTAGTAGTACGCAGACGTCTCCACAATCGACAAACCTATTCCCGTAGTAAGAACCGGCCCTTTACTACCAAACGGGTGACTGCTGTTCACCGCCCCTAGGTCGTAGAATTGGATGGGGACAATATCAGAGCATGAACTGTTGCCCACGATTTTCACGATGCCACAGTTCAACGGGCTTGCCGTGAAATCTACGAGGCTACTTCCATTACACACGACCCAGTTGTTGATGGTGGATTTGACCATGAACTGCTGATTTCCTATGGAACTCCAGAGCCAGAAGTCTACAGCATTGAAATCCGTCTCGTTCAGAGGAGGAGTGATGGAGATAGGAACATCGCCCTCGCTCACCGTCCAATTTGGTCTTGGGGTCAAGGCACCTGTCAATTCCGGACCAAAATTTGTGAAGTTGTAACTCCAGACGAGCGTCCATCCTCCTCCGTCAGAGTCCATATCACAGAAAACCTACATCAAGAAAATGAATGTGTTTAACGTCTTTGATATTACGGTGATATGACGGTGTTTGATATTATTTCAAAATCAAATGATCACACATATTTGGCATTACTAGTTATGTCTTTCAGCGACAATAATAATTAATTATGATGGTGTGGTATATCAGTATATTGCTGACCAACTGGAGTTCGGTTAGCTTACAAGTACACTTCTTCTGTACATGGTCCCATACCATAATACAAAAAAGGGTAAGCAGTCGTTTTTTGTGCATGTTACACCTAAGTCTTACTGTACTGTCAGCAGACATAACTTAAAATTGCTAAACGAGCATAAATAACATGAAGAATAATACATATAACACAAAATTCTGTCGGTGCAATATTATGCACGCATAACATTAATGTCCACTTATGTCGTAGACATATGTGAAGCTTATACTGCACCTGAAAAGCCTGGCCCCCTGTTGAGATCCAGTATACGCCGCTTTCTGCTTCCGGTCTACTCTGTAAGATATCTGTACAGTTTGTCCCTGGGTCGGCTTCAGAATCGCCGAGATTTGATGCGGCGCCGTCCGTCTGCAAATGTAAGTTTAGATTAATTAAATGTTCTTTTAATAGGAACATTCACTTGTGTACACGCACGTGATTGGGTTGATGCGCAAGTTAAATTGCCTGATTTGAATTTTGCGTCTTTCAAAAAATTCTTATGTATAGAAAATTACAGCTCAATGACTCTGGAAACCGCGTTGAACAATGCAACGGACCAGTGCGCTGTTATAGAACACAATGTACACTGTTATTGTTGTAAGTAAGGTTAAACAGATGAGACTTAAAGAGCAATATCGCATAAGGTTGAACGTGACAAATAAGATATTAATCTTATCTTACCTTAATATTAAAACAAAACAGAGTAAAAACATAAATATTTAAACTTAAAACCCTGAACTCACGTTTGACCTATCGGCTGGCATATCACAAAAGAACCTCATAATAATACAGCTGCTGTCAACCTGGGCGTCTTCTATATCAGATGATGTTAATTCTGTGCTGAACACTGTGCACATCCGTGACTCTGTACAAAACTGCACAGATTTGGCTTCAGTCGATTCGAATCTCTGCCGCGCGCAGTCCTGCATGCTCTCGTGGGGTTCCTCTGTGAGAACGCTAGCGTTCGACCCCGAGGAGCCGTGGATATGCACTCCATGCGAAAGCGTTGCTTTACATGACTGAACTTTCACGCCACTGACAATCAGTGGGAGAACAACGCACACGAGTTCTGAAATTAAGATTGGCATATGTACTGCTTATGTACAATAGTTTGCACGACAAATGGGATTGTGCAAAAACATTGTAATGAATATCACTAATATCACTAAAAGAAAATAACAAATTTACTAAATAATTAATCTATCGTTCTTACTTATACACAAAGTGAAAACAAACCGTTCTTGATGTAATCACGGGTATCAAATATGCAGTTCTAATCAGTATCAAAATTAGTTTTGCCTCCTAAACTGCATTTCTCTCTATAAATCCCCTTGGAACCTACCTAAGACGATAAAACCCGCGATTTTCTGTGAAATACACAACATTTCAGCGTTTGGCAAATTTGAAACACTTCAAAGACTTGGTATCTGTAGACAAAATATTTTCCATTCCCTCTTTTATTCAACATTGGATAAAAATAATTTTCTCCATCTGTATATTTCCCAGGACCTTTACAAAAAAGACTGACGGTAGATGAATAATTAAGCAAGCAGTTTCTATTCTATTTTATTTTTGATATTACAAGGCATCGCAGCGTCTCCACAGACACCCTATTGTTTCTGCTGTATTTTTTCTTCATCGTGTAAATATATCGAATCGTCGTCTGGCATTTTCTTATACTTGTCATAACAACTAATACAAAGGAGATGCGCAAGCTTTTAATCAATAACACGTTATGCCAGCTTATATCCCGTACATCACTGGTAATAGACAACATTTAAGTGTCGTATATGATAAGCGCTTTACCGAGAAGTATTGGTTTTTTTTTTCGTCTGCAGACATCCAAAATTCAAGGGGGAGACGTAAAATGAATAAATAATTACGCAAATGTTGCGTTTTAGAAAGAAGCACAAAAGCTTGGTAGGCCGGTAGCAGCACCTCTATTTTTTGGTCTTTTAGGCACCATCACTTAAACGCCTGAAGGTATCTGTCGTATATACATGTACATGTATTAATCACACATACCAAATTGATTATTTTACCTGTAAAATCGCTTTTAGCTGTTGGCTGAAATTGTTCCTTTCATTATATACACACCATAATTGTTTTAGAATTCAGGCCACTGTTCTTTTTTATCAAATACTTTATCCAAAGTCTACAATGCAAAACTCTCCCGATAAAGAGGTGTTTGCCATTCACTTGACTGCTCAGTGATAATAAGCCATGATACCTTCTACTTCTAAGATAATACTCTTGAAATTATGTCTATTTAGTTCCTTCTTATCTAATGGCTACTTGAGATGACGTAAAGGTCTTCCCAAGATTATTAATATTAGTACTTTTACAATTACAGTTACGACTGTTACTCGTGTGATTTAGACATGCGTTCAGGAGGTTAAACAATCATCCAGCACTGTATCTATCAAATCCAGCAATATTCTACAATTAATTAAAACTTAAAATTTTAAACCATATTGTGTGGGTTGGAAAGTGAATAAGGCTTCTAACAACTTCGAAATATAGGATCTCTCTTTCTCCCTCTCTCATTCTCTCCGTGTGTGTGTGTGTGTGTATTTGCGTGTGAGTGCGCGCGCGCTAGTGTGCGTGTGTGCTCATGTGCACGTTTGCCTGATGAAATAAGCTCGTATCTAGTTTTCAGCACTCGACGTAATCGTCATCCTTTCATCACAGCCACTTAGATATCAATTACGTGTTTGTCCCCCGTGTAGACATAAGATGGTAACCAGGCAGGCCGGGTAAAGGTTACGAGAAAGATACACAGTGAAGTTGTCTACTGCTGACCTCTATCTCATGTCAAACACGGGTTATGCGTTACGCTGTGCTAGCATACAAATGTATGCCCTGTACTTTGCATGGGTCTTAAGCTATAATCACTTATTAGTAAACATATCCAGACCCAATGTCTGATGGGATAAGAAGTCGATGTACTTGTATAGAGGTGCATACATGTACAGTCAAGTAAGGCTACACACGTATTTCATCAGTACCTTGCCTTGAAGGGAAATACGTACTTTTTCGTGTTAATAATCTTCATCATTTGGAGCCATGCGTGGAAGGCAATTTTTAATAACTTTACTAATTAATTGAACATTAGGTGTTTTTATGCGTTTATGCGCTCTTAAACCTGCTATCTAACTTAAATGCGGATTAAAAAAAATACAGAAATATTGTATGACTTATCGTAACATAACCATTAAATATAAGCATATTTATACACACTGGCCACAAGGATTGGTGGTGACATCAAAACAACAAGAAACAGACAAAGTACTTGACAGATAGATAGATGGGATAATAATAATAATAATAATAATAATAATAATAAATAGATAAACAAATGATTATTACCACATGAATGGCAAGAACAACTATTTACATGTATATTTGAATTTGTAACTTTCCCAATCAGAGAAGGTAGCTTTGGCGAAACGTAAACATAGTAGAACTAGGTGTCTACGATAATATTTATTGTCTAGTTACGTTACATTATCAAGAAAATAAAGAAAAATCTAGCTACATTTATATAGCATTACATTATTGAGAAAGAATAAGCCAAGTCAAAATTTAAATGTGTTTGGAGCACCGTCTCTCCTATTAAATTATACTACGACACGTCTACAGCCTTGCATATCAGAGCAACTTGTTTTAAAATATTTTTTTAATAATTTTACAAACTCGTGAACGTTCGCTGGGGACATACATGTATCGGCCGATAGTTCACGACGTTGTCTAGAATGCTGTCATGAATGTGTATTACATGAGTACAATGATATTTTATCATGCCAGAGATTTTCAACCGCACGCGGCACACCGGGATCTGGGCGGAAGATAAATGTGACGTCAGTTATCTTTCATTGTAAAGGTTGTCAAGGGACAAGACAAAGTGTCGAACCATCTCGTATTTCCGTTATTTAGGATTGCCTTTACCTGTATTGCTTAAAGAAATCTGAAATTAATCTTTTGTAGAGTGTTTTACGGCAAAAGAGGAAGATGACAAAGACATCAATGAGAAAATGTTCACACAAGATCGAGCTTTTGCTAATTGCTAGTTTTGATTAAATATAAGGCGTAAATTCAATTTTTCGTTCTCGATTAATATAATGTCTATCATTTTTTCTATCTGAGTGTTGTGGTTTAAGTAACTTTCCCCATTCCTGAAAGAAAACTTTTTCATCAAGTCAATCTGCTTTAAACTATAATAGATTTTGACCCACTTAGGTCAAGCTAACCCTAACCATTATAACTATATGGAGGGCGGACTTTCTGTTACACGGACCCTCAGTTTCGCCGCACCGCTTTACCAGGCCTACACAACTACCAGACTCGGCACCTAAGGATCCTGAATTAACCGGTATATCGGACCACACTACCCGTTTTCAAGGTGTGTGTCAGATCGCATTTCGGAGTATCAGCCAGAACACCGACAGGATGAGCCCTGGCATGCTCGGCTGTCAACTTGATTGGAAAGTAAACGATTGTCGTAAAATCGCTATATGATTTTAAAACCGGGTGCATAAGTTTGAAAGCCACCTAGATGAACCTAAGACTGCTACATTAATCTAATACAATGCAAAAAAGCCCTATCAAAAGTGGTTAAAACATTCAAACCGAATGTCATAAAGTCCCCATATATCCCCATAGAGACAANTGCATGTGAACGAAGCCTAATTCAGGATCCTTAGGTGCCGAGTCTGGTAGTTGGGAAGGCCTGTTTACACCCCATAGTGATTCTCTACAACCGATTGCTAGAGTAGGCAAATAAATAAATAAATAAATAAATAAATAAATAAATAAATAAAGAGAATAAAATAAAAAAAAGAAAAAAGCGTTCTCCAAGGAGTAAACGAAGTGTTATTAAATGTGAAATCTTGTAGCGCTATACACGGTACATCACCGTCACGAGGTATACAGCATTTTGTCTGGAACCAAGATGTAGGGACACCTTGTGTACTAAATTATGTGTCCGGAATATATTCCAGAACAAACACTGTTTGTCACCTGTCTTTGCTGCTTAAACAAACGATTCTGATAAACATGGCTGAATATCTGTTAAAATGATGAATACCCTGGTTGTTAAATGATAAATGATTGAGCGATTAATTGAAAAGGTATCGACCATAACGTCGCTGACTGTATGCTGTGTTATATCATTTCCCCATCAGTCAGGAAAGACATCTTTTCTTTTTGCACAAGCAAGGAAGACTGCATATTTCGCAGGATCTCTGTTGTTGTGAGGGGAATTAATTTTAAAAGGAAGAGTGCTTTAAGAACGAATCTAGTGCCGAAAGTGAAGATTTATCAGTCTCGAATCATTACTGCCGATACCCGTATCTGGACTTTATCGAATAGCGGTTTGTTCCTACAGTGTGGCCTTCACGGGGAAACCGAGGGAGAAATACACACTAGGCTAATCCAAAACTTAAGCATTTTCAGTTGTTGCTGTGCGATTTCTATCAAGCCATATTCGATATAAGATCCTTAAGAAGGGCTTACCGTTGGTATGGACACAAAAACGAACAAACTCTAAAAGGTCAATTTTGTCAAAACAATGAGGATGAAAGGTGTGAATAGTCCAGAGAAGTTATGTCCAATTTAAAACCACAGTTGGTTTTCACCCTTGAAACACTTGCTAATATGAGAGATAAGAAGTTCATTGCTGACAAAGAGAAGGCAATAGAGCAGTGCAGGAGAGCGACACTCATCATAGCTGGATTAAATAAGAAGTGTGCACCATGAATTTGTTGGAATTGGGACTTCTAACTTTGCTTTGTACCCTTAATCATGCACAAGCGCAAGAAGGTATTCTTTAGTTTTTTGTATTGTTGAAAACGAATTATCATTTAAAATTTAAAAGGGAAATGCGTTTTGATAATCAAAAGATTTTATCATAGTGTACTAACACTACAAAAAATTAATATATTTTGCTTCAGATACAACCTTCTCTCAGATACAATTTTTTTAGTAGCAGTCCAAATGAC